GAGCACATGAGAGGGGGGAGGGTCAGAGGGAGAAGCAGACTCCCCGCCGAGCAGGGAGCCCGATGCGGGACTCGATCCAGGGACTCCAGGATCATGACCCGAGCCGAAGGCAGTCGCTTAACCAACTGAGCCACCCAGGCGCCCCTACTATTACAATATTATTGACTATATTCCCTATGCTATACTTTTCATCCTGGAAGTTTATTTTATAACTGGAAGTCTGTAACTTCTAATCCCCTTCCGTATTTTGCTTCCCTACCCCACAACTACCAGTTTATTTTCTGTATTTATGACTGTTTCTCTCTGTTCTTGTTCTTTGTTTATGCATTTGTTTTGTTTTCTAGATTCAACGTATAAGTGAAATCATATGGTCCTTCTCTGACTTATTTCACTTAGCATAATACCCTCTAGGTCCATTCATGTTGTTGCAGATGACAAGATGTCATTCTTTTTATGGTTGAGTAATATTTCATTATGTACATATAATATTTGTTTAATTTGCATTTATTTGATTCCAAGTAAGATACTGTTTTCCTCATGCTCTTTGGCCATTTTAGACAGTTAAGTTGCTAGTTCATGTCACTTATCCATTTTTCTACTGGGGGTTTCATATTTTCCTTCTCTTTAAAATTTTGTTTTTTCCTTTTTTTCTTTAAAGATTTTATTTATTTATTTGACAGAGAGAGAGAGAGTGAGAGAGAGTGCGTGCACAAGCAGGGAGATCAGTGGGTAGAGGGAGAGGGAGAAGCAGACTCCCCGAGAAGCAGGGAGACCGATGCAGGGCTCGATCCCAGGACTCTGGGATCATGACCTGAGCTGAAGGCAGACACTTAACCGACTGAGCCACCCAGGCGCCCCTCATGTTTTCCTTCTTACTTTATGTTAACTTACTATATTTTTAGGGTATCAGCACTTCATCATATATGTCTCACTTTGTCATTTGCCTTTTAAGTATTTATGATACTTTAATTTTTCTGTTTCACTTTGACGTTTATTTTATTTTAATAGCTTTTTTTGAGGTATAATTGACATACAATAAACTGTATACATTTAAAGTGTCCAAGTTGGTAGGGTTTTGCCTTATGTATACCCCTGCTAAGCCATCACCACAGTCAAGGTAATGAGCACATTCATCACTTCAGAGTATCCTCATGGCCCTTTGTAATTCCTCTCTCCAGTCCGCCCCACCCACCCTCCCTATTCCTGGGCAACCACTGGTCTGCTTTCTGTCATTAGCACTTACTTTGAATTTTGGAGAATTTTATATAAATGGAATAATACAGAATACACTTTTTGGGTAATTAATTATTAAAGAAATACAAATTAAAACCACAATGAGATACCACTACACACCTATTAGAGAGGTTAAAATTAAAAAGACTGACTATATACCAAGTGCTGGTGAGGATGAGGGGCAAGTGGACCTATACTGATGGTGGGAATGTATAATGACACACACATCTTGGGGAACAGTTTGGTATTTCTTTAAAAGTTAAGCATTCACCTACCATGTGATCCAGCCATTCCACTCCTAGGTATTTACCTAAGAGAAATGAAAGCATAGGTCCATACAAATACTTGTACATGAATGTTCATAGAAGCTTTATTTGTAAATAACTCCAAACTGGGAACAACCCAAATGTCTATCAGCAAATCTGGATAAATAAATTGTGGTATATTCATACTATGGAATAGTACTCATAAATCAAAAGAAGTAAACTATTGATACATGCAACAATGTGGATAGGTTTCAAAATGATATTTTTTGACATGGAAGTTAATATTTTATGCTATATAATCAACTTAATTTTACATGAATTTTTCCTTTATTGCCATACTTAGAGCTTCCTTGCTCCCAAATTAAGTATTTGACTATATAATCTTTTTTTTTTTTTTAAGAGAGAGAGTGTGTGTGCATGCACGTGAGCAGCGGAGGGTGCGGGGGTGCAGAGGGAGAGGGAGAATCCCAAACAGGCTCCACACCCAGTGCAGAGCCCAAGGCAGGGCTGGATCACACAACCCTGAGATCATGACCCAAGCCAAAAATCAAGAGTCAGATGCTTAACCAACTGAGCCACCCAGGCGCCCCTCACTATATAATTTTTTATTTTA